ATAAATTGACTTTACTGTAGAAAACACTGTTTAGACACTGTCTGGCACTGGTTGGACACTGTTTGACACTGTTTGACACTGTTTGGATATACATTTCTTTGCCAAATAAGGAAATAAGGGAAGTGTATGTGACTTTGTTTTTGAAACATCTCACAAAGGAAAGTGTGAGTTTCTTTTAGAAACAGAGGGAGTATATACTTTATGTTGGTTATAATTTTTAATTTCATTTTTAATTGTTTACTTATTTGAAGCATACTAATTTATTAATAGGTGTCAAATTAATAAGTAAACTAATTTGCATATTTGTTTCTATTTAATCCGGTGTAGTAAACTAATACTCTCTCCGTCCCTAAAAGGATTGCCATATTTGACTGACACGTAGAATAATAAAGTAAAAACTGTGTGGTAGAGATTTGTGCAGGGGAGAGAGAAATAACAGGAACAACAAATTGATTGATTAAAAGGGAAAATGACAAAGTTTTTGGGACAACCAAAAAAGGAAAATTAGCAAAGTTATAAGGGACGAAGGGAGTATAAATTAGTTTCCATAACAATAAACGTTATTAGAATTTTACTTTGATAGCCAAAAATTATTTTACTTATTTGAAGCTTAGCAAATTAATTAAGGTGAATTTATAAGAATTTTTGTTTCCATATCAATATGCAATCAAAAATAGAATCTAATAAAAACAAAAGGTATAAAAATAAGTAAATAATTGTTATATATAATGACATGACATGATTATGTGACGCTTTGTATGATCTTAAAAAGTTCATCTTATATATATATATATATATATATATATATATATTGATTTATATAGGTTCGTAGATTAAAAAATTGTATGAATTACCTAAACACTAAATTACATATAGCGTAGAGTTAACACTAGAAAATCAAAGGCCGGCAATGATATCATGATAAATGTTTAACGATAAATAAATAATCATATTCTAATTAGTTCGGTTTATTATGCTAATGGCCTAAACCAAATCATACAATTATGGTTTGATCCGATCTTTTGCATTCAGTTTCTTCTTTTGCGAATTTATTTAGCTTGATTGTGATTAATATATTTTTCAAATCTAGCCCTAATTACATGCCCTTGCACATTCAATTTGAATTCTTTTTGGGACTTTGGATCATTAGAGCATCTCTAATGCTACGATGTGCACGTTGCACATGTGGCATGAGAGATAGAAACAAATAATTAAATTTATGATATTTCTTTCTCCTTCTTTCCACGATTTTGTGTGTTTTTGGTAATTTTTTCTTAACAATGTCAACCACAATGTCTACATATAGACATTGTGTTTGACATTGTGAGAGAAATTTACCAAAACATATAAGACCGTTCAAATAAGAAGAGAGATATTTTATTCGTTATTTTTAATTGGTTATCTCTCGTGCTACGTATTTTTTAATTAGCAAACCCACTTGATTTGCTCTCGAGATTCCAATATCGGATAGATTTTACTATTATCCCATGTTCACTAGTCATTAACGATCAATTTGGTTATTAGTTTATTATTATTACTCCTTACTATGTAACTTTAATTGGATGGTGGATAACATTTTCTTGACATCTTTGCGGCGCTAGCTATTAATTTAATTTAAACTCTTAATTATTGCTTGAGACTAGTCCTAAACCAGCAAAGAGTAAATAATAGGGATCAAGAGAAGCACGACATCGATCTCAATCAAGTAGAGTAGCTTTTAATTGTATTTTTGTGTCAACAAAGAACAAATTATACTCCCTATTTTTTCTTTAAGAAAAGGTGAGACAAGGTACACATGCAATGTCTTATTTTATTTCCCTTAAATCTTCTCTTCAGCCATATAATCTTTGTTTTATTTGATTGTTGTAAATTGTTATGTAACTTTCTTTTTGGAGTTATGTGCAAGTACGAAACACAACTCAGAATTTCCGGCTATTATCATTATCATTCATAATATTTGATTGGTTAAGATGTTTGTAATTGACTAGTTTGTTTCTGAAGACAACATGGGATCAACTCAGACTTAAACAAATTAGCAGATTAAATAATATGTACAATTATAAAATAATATAGAATTAGATATCTATCAAACTAGATTTGTTCAGACTAGATCACACAAACTAAACCAGAGAAGACTTGGATCATGCAATTCCAATAATAAAACGACCAAATGGAACTACTAATACACTCTTCACTCTATTCTAATATCTATGAAGAAATTGCTAAAAATATATGTAAAATATGATTAATTTTTCTTCCCAAACTAATTTATTTGGTCCCATAAAAGAATAAACGACTAATAACTTCTCAAAGTAGGAGCAAATGAGTTATTTTTGAAAAAAACAATGACACTTATATTAGAAGAAATATTTTATCTTCTTACTCCTGTTTAAATAATTTTCTCATATTTATTTAATATTTATTTAGTTTCCCTTGTATTCATGTGTTTCGCGTGACTTTTTATTATTTCAGCGTTTTTTAAAGAACACTCTTTTAAGATAATTTTTTCCATAAAAACTAATTTATTAAACCCGAAATATGACATACTAATATCACTACTACATTTTTAGACCTAATGTATCATTAGAGATGTAACATATCTATAATAGTGTTACCTATTTCTCTAATGTAACACTTTTTAGATCTAATGCAACACTTTCTAGAAGTATAAGTGTTACATTAGAGAAAATGTAACATTTTTTTACCATTACATTTGCTGGTGTTGCATTTGACCTATTGTAACACTTTATAGTACATAATGTAACACTTATACTTCTAGAAAGTGTTACACTAGGTCTAAAAAGTGTTACATTAGAGAAATAGGTAACACTATTATAGATATGTTACATCTCTAATGTTACATTAGGTCTAAAAATGTAGTAGTGTATACTCTGACAGATTGGGATTATAGTCCAACTTACATCCTCCCAACGTACTGTCCAGTCGGGGTTGGGGCCCTCAGGGATGAGGTGTCATCTTTATTTTTTTTCTCTTTCTAATATACTCTGACATCCATTCTTAATAACCTTTTTAAAGTTGACTAACACATAATATTATAAAGTAAAAAGTGTGTGTTTGAGGTAGTAAAATCATTCGATCGGTAGATGTTATAAAGATCATCAACTGTTTGCAATCATGATTTTCCCAAACGAGATTCCTTGAACTATGAAATAAGTCTGTACTTGTTGACTTAATTTGGAAGGATTATAATTGACATGGTCAAATGTAATATTGATTAATTAATGGGTAGGTGTAAAAATGTCCTAATTACCAATTCAACGTAGCGTATACTGTAGCTTACCAATTATTGAAAGTAGTCTACTGTATAATGAATTTTCTGGGGTGGGCATAAAACCCGAACCGAACCGGTACCGAAACGTCCCGTAATGATACCGAACCAAATATCGGGTATTTAAATGGTTATATAGATTTTTATCCCGTACCGAAACCGTACCGTTTGAAACGGGTACGAGATCGGTCCTAGATTTTGAGAATCGAAAAGTACCGGATCGAATCGTTCGTAAATAATGCATTTGAATTTTTATATTTTTTCTATATCAATAGATCTGGACCAACAATTTTTACCCCAAGTATGTATTCATGTGTCCCTAAGATATCTAAAATGTGTTGTTTATATATATATATATATATATATATATATATATATATTAGTTTTTCTTTTTAGATAATTCATGTTATATTTTGGTATGTATTGAAAGAATATTAAAATTTTAGAAATCATTAATGATTATTTATTTCTAGTAATGTAGTGTACATGACTTTTTGTTGTATCATATTTGTGCATTTTTTACAACTTAATTAATATGGTTTAAATCTTAGCTGTCAATGTTAACCTATAAATTAAATTAGAACTACGGAGTAATATTTAACCTAGAATGAAGAAGAAGAAGAACGTTGAAGATTTCTTTTATATTCAACAATTTGATGATATTCGTTTTTATATTTTCACATGAACTTAGTAAATTAAAAATGATATTTATCTCGTGCGTGATCGTTTTGCTATACTTTTTCTTAGTTGTGTTGCACTATTTGTGCATTTGTGAATATTAGTACTAGATATGTAATTTCTTGTATTTATTTCAACATTTCATGTGAGTTGGTTGGTGTGATGATATCTACTAATTGCAAGATTTGTTCAAAAATTTTAACATGTGTTTGGCATTGTACCATACCGTTTTGTACCGTTCCGAAACGACATGGTACCAAACAGTTTTATCCTTGGAATCAGACCGTATCAGACCGTTAAAAACCTCAAAGATACATTACGGGATTTACCAATTTATCAGACCGTTCCGGACTACACTCACCCCTAGAATTTTCAATGTGGAAAAGAGTCAACTGCTATTAAACTTAGAAAGGAATAATACCTACATTTCGAATTATTTAGGCATTTTTTCTAAAGAATCCTGCTAAAGTTCACGTCTTTCATAAGAATCATATATGAGGGGAAACACAATATTCATGTACCAAAAGTGGCTGGTCAAAGTCAAAAACGGCGACTAATTGTGGAATTGGCGCAATACTCGTAAGGATGAAAGGTTTCAAAGTAGAGGTAAACAAAAAACCGAAATCGACTAACAAACCAATCGGAACCTAATCGTTCACAACCGACCAAAGCTGATCAACTAAAATTGAAACCGATCAAAGCGGACTAATCGGTGGATGATTTAGTTTACTATTTATACTTTGGATTAAAAAATCGGCCGACAAAACCTTATCAAAACAAGCTAAAATCAACCGAAACCGATGCAAATCGACCAAAATGACTCAAGTTTTCTAGTTGATTCTTAGTTCTACTTGTTCTAAAAGTCGTTAAAACCAAACGTTAAAAAACAAAAGTAGACCGACTAAAATCCAATACCAACTAAAACCGAATCGATAAAACTGAAACTGAAGAAAGTGAACCGATAAACACACTATTAATCAAAAGTACATGAGAAAACCGGGACCGCTTTGAGACCAACCGGGGTGGGTGGGGACTGGAACCGGACAGGCGGACAGTGTCCTCCCATAGTTCGACTAGCATCGCAAGAAACGATAAACCCGCTCCTCTCTATCAAGTCTTTTTACTTTTCCGTCCCGTTCCGACGGCACGACCGTTAAAGGAGCCGACAAAGCTCACCACCAGGAAGAAAAACAAAATTCTTGCTAAAAGAAGTTACATCTCTATGCAAAAATACACATAAAATTTATTCATTCAATTTTTTGAAATCATGTTACTAAGAAACAAGAGAATTTCTACTCTGAAAATGAGCCTTTGAACGTTATACTACACGCCAGACCAGTTATTGCAGAGAAGGGTGCCAACCACTTCCGACTACCTCGCCGGCGACAAAAGCAGAGCAAGGTAAACTGTACACTTTCTTGACAATAAGCCATAGCTCAGCCTAAGCATGGTATGTTAGGGCATTTCGCTCAATAATAATGTGAAACCTGAAACCCTAGCTAGGGTTAGAGGTAGGGTATTGCCGTTAAGGATTCAAATCCGTGCTCGAGTGCAATGGGGAACTGCTGCAGATCTCCGGCGGCTGTGGCTAGAGAAGATGTGAAGTCGTCTAACTTCTCCGGCCACGATCACGGCAAGAGGGACAGGTCCAGCGCTGGAGCCAAGCAGAAGCCTATCAGTGTGCTGACGAACGTGAAGAAGGAGAACATTGAAGATAGGTATCTTGTTGATAGGGAACTGGGGAGGGGCGAGTTTGGTGTGACTTACTTGTGCATCGATCGCGGCTCCAAGGAGCTATTGGCTTGCAAATCAATTTCCAAACGGAAGCTTCGGACAGCAGTGGATGTGGATGACGTGAGGCGAGAGGTGGCTATAATGAAGCATTTGCCAAGAAATTCGAACATTGTGAGCTTGAAGGAGGCTTGCGAGGATGATAATGCGGTTCATCTGGTGATGGAGCTTTGTGAAGGAGGTGAGCTTTTTGATAGGATTGTGGCACGTGGTCACTACACAGAGCGAGCTGCAGCTGCTGTTACTAGAACAATTGTGGAGGTTGTGCAACTCTGCCACAAGCATGGAGTGATCCACAGGGATTTGAAGCCTGAAAACTTCTTGTTCGCAAATAAGAAGGAGAATTCACCTCTGAAGGCTATTGACTTTGGGTTGTCAATCTTCTTCAAGCCAGGTACTAAATGAAACTTTAGCCAATTTGCATTTTTTAAATTTCATAGCCACATCGGAATGCTACATTATATGCTCCTTTACAATTTAAAAATAAAAAACTACATATAAGTTGTTTTCTTTAGATGAAGAGGGAAAATGCTGCTATTGATTAGTCATCAGAGGTAGAAGTTCAACATTTTTATAATTTATGAAACTCCAAATCAGTACTATGTATATGCTTTATTATGTGACAATGGCATTATGATGACCTGACAACCTGAAAAAGTGAATTAGTAGAAACCCTTGTCAAATTTTGCTGTGCCAAATGGCCCAAATCCATTCTTTCAACAAAGTCCCTTTCCAAAGCTAACCTCATAGAATAGCTGTGGACTCTGAAGCTACGTACTTGAACTGACCTAAGTGAATTCCAATTATGAATTAACTCTTTAGGAACAAATAATTGGCCTGCAACATATTTCCTATTCAAGATAGCCGTTGATGATAAAGCGGTATTACACAGCATTTGGCGAGAGTAGTTAAAAATGACTATAAATTTGTATCCCAAAGAAGAGCTGTTATTGCAAAATAAAATCCTGTTAATATCACATTCCCAATATGCAATTGTCATGATGGAGCCATCTCTTAAGAAAATTCCGCAAATGTCTTTGAGATGTGTATTTTATCTTTTGATCCCTTGCGAAAAATTCAAATTTAAATCGATTCAGGAAAGGAGCATTTTTTTTGCATCCAAGTTAAATAAATGATTTTGTAGTTTAACAGGTGATTTTGTTCTAAGAACTTTTGCTATAATGCACTGGTTCAAGACTTCAAGTATGTGCTAGTCTAGTTTGTTTAGTCTAAAATCTATTATGCTACATGAACATTTCTGTTTTTTTTTTTGTCTTTCAACTTTTAGGTGAAAGATTTTCCGAAATTGTTGGAAGCCCATATTATATGGCTCCCGAGGTGCTAAAGCGAAACTATGGGCCTGAAATAGATATATGGAGTGCAGGAGTGATTCTGTACATATTACTATGTGGGGTTCCTCCCTTTTGGGCTGGTAAGCTCGGTTTCTGTGAATGGCTCTGTCTTCAGCCTTTCGTTGTAGTCTTCCTGCCCCATTCTAAGCTACACTTTCCGTTTCCGGTTTGTGCCACATATATGTTCTCTCCTGTTTTGGACATTACTAACTTCATATGTTTTCTACCTAACCCTTTTCGGATTTGACTTTTTAATTCGTGATCTATTTGCACAAGCTTTTACATTGTCTGATTTCATTTTGAGCTGTTTGCACAACCATATATAAAAGCTTCCAACCTTTTGAAGGTTAAAAGTGTAAAACTAAACAAATATGGTTTGTTGTATCAATATGCATGCGAAAAGCAATTGAGACTTTTATTTTGAGACGAAGAGAATATTAATGTGTACACATGTAGGGTGCCTTATACTCCAGCTCTTTCTTTTCTTTAGTATTAATTTCCTATTTTTTGTTATGAGATTTTTCTCAGCATTTTTGAGGTCAGATCGATTGATCTCTGGTAACTAAAGATAATTCTGTGGATACAGAATCTGAACAAGGTGTGGCCCAGGCTATTTTACGCGGGGCAATAGATTTCAAACGTGAACCGTGGCCAAGTATTTCAGAGACTGCCAAAAATCTCGTGAGGCAAATGTTGGAGCCAGACCCCAAGCTTCGACTAACTGCAAAACAAGTAATTGGTATGCTACTTTCATATGTGCTTGTCAGTTTCTGTTACGTGGTAAGCATAGTCTGTTCACATCGATTTATAGAAGTCTGCTCTTATCTTTTATTGCTACTATGTCCACTGATGCTATAAATTCTTGTGTCACTTTCTGGTTACTCAAATGAATGTGTGCAGTGATGGTGGTTGTTTGCTACTTTGTTTAAGGAGAATGGTGATTGAACAACATTATATAACTGCCCGGTAATAAATTTTTATAACAGGGTTGTTAATAAACACATGTAATTCCAGAATAGAAGATATGTTGCTATCATAGGTAAAGCACAAGGAAAGGGGAAAAAGTAGCTGGGAGTTTTTGTTTGAAAGGGTGCATGTCAAATTCATTATTCCCTATCATATTATATTCAATGACGAAATAAGGATTCCTTAACTATGTTCTTGTTCCAAAAAAATTGTGCTGGTTGCATAAGCTTAGTTTAAAAGTTTGTTGTGGCTGCTGTACATAACGTCTGAGGCCATGGTCACAATGGTTCCATTTCTGTGCAGAGCACCCTTGGATCCAGAATGCCAAGAAGGCTCCAAATGTTTCTCTGGGAGATGTTGTGAAGTCAAGGCTGAAACAGTTTTCCTTGATGAATAGGTTCAAGAGAAAGGCTTTGAGGGTAAGTTTATATATGTGTAGGGACCCCCACAATCATAAATAATTATATTTTCGTTTGTGTTATTCATTTTATTACATTGGCTTGCTTCTAGAGATGTTGAAATAACCCTTTTTTCATGTAGGTTATTGCTGATTTTTTGTCCAATGAAGAAGTTGAAGACCTCAAAGAAATGTTTGGAAAGATCGATACTGATAGTGATGGTATTGTTTCAATTGAAGAATTGAAAGTAGGACTTTTGAAGCTCAATCCTCAGCTGGGAGAATCTGAAATACAGATGCTTATCGAGGCTGTGAGTCATATGTTGCTACTTTCAAGTTTCAATTATTTCATCATCATTTCATTTTCATTTACCCCAGTGCCGCAAAGGCTCCCACCTACGGTGGGGTAAGGGGGGGTCGGATGTACGCAGTCTTACCCCTGTACTAAAAGCACAAAGAGACTGTTTCCGGATGACCCATAGTGAAAATCCCGTCCAAAATTTCATGGACTGACTGCTGCTTCATAACAAAGAAGCGCAGACAGTTTAGTGAGCCATTTTGCTTTATTCCATCATAATCTCAAGCCAAAAAATAATGAATCTTTGGCTCCATTGCAAATGATGGAAAATTCAAGTTTCAATTATATGTCACATATTTTTTTATCTTTTTTATTATTTTATATATGATATGTAAAACAAAAATATATATATATATATGGGTGCCAAACCTACCCAACATATAAAAGAATGAAAAATCATGAATGAAAAGGAAGAAGATAATTAATAGATGAAAAATGAAAAAAAAAAGATAAATAATAAACTGATGCGGTATATGATTATTTGCCGTACAGATTGATTCTAACGGAAAAGGGACCTTAGATTATGGAGAGTTTATTGCGGTTTCACTCCATTTACAAAGAATGGCTAATGATGAACACATGCGCAAGGCTTTCGCTTACTTTGACAAGAATGGGAATGGTTACATTGAGCCTGATGAGCTTCAAGATGCTCTTATGGAGGATGGATCAGAAGATTGTACAAATGTAGCGAATGATATCTTCCAGGAAGTTGACACCGACAAGGTTTGTGTGCTGGACAGTTTTCATAATATAAAATTGAACTGATGGAATGTCTGTTTGTCTGACCTTGCTTTGCTTTTGTGGGGTGGTTGTGCACCTACACAGGATGGTCTGATCAGCTATGAAGAATTTGCAGCAATGATGAAAACAGGAACAGATTGGAGAAAGGCTTCTCGGCATTACTCACGAGGGAGATTCAATAGTTTGAGTGTAAAGCTAATGAAGGACGGTTCTCTTAACCTGGGGAATGACTGAAGAGATCATCATCATATATAGCTCCCACTTTTACATGATATTATTATGATTATAATGGGTGCAATTCTGTGTATCATAGTAGATAATCTCATCAACTATTTGTTGCGCTCCCATTGTTTATAAATGAGGGGTTCATTTAGAGTGTTGGTTTGTCAGGATCATTGAAGAAATGACTAATCTTCTCAGCCTCTTCATGTTTGTGAATTCAGTAGAACGGATAGTGCTTTTTTAGTGGTTTGATCCACATTCCTTGTATGATCCTCCCCCCATATTTGGATGCTCTCTCTTGCTTACAAGCTTAAATCAGAATCTTCAACGTGCTTTATTTTACTATTAAGTTCATAATAATAATAAGAAAAAATTGTCCTATATAGGACTAAAACAAGGGCTAAATGCAAAAATAAGACCTCTTATGTTTTCTCCCCTTAATAGGACCAATTTACTCTTATTCTTAAACATACGAAAATTGGCATCCCAAATTTACCCCTGCAACCATTTAATCTTCTTTTTACCCCTGCAGCCATATAATCGATCGATTCCTTCTCTAGGTCCAAAACAAATTTGCAGATTCCACCGCATCTCATCATCTCCCCTAAGATCTGTCGATTCCATCGCACGACGTCGACTTCTCCACCGCAAGTTGCCTTCGCCGCTCCACCTGCGTCGCTTCTGCTTCGCTGGCTTCACCTCCACTTCACTGCCTTTGCCCTGCACCATCGCTCTGTTTATCTTTCTTCGAATTTTCAGGGTTTTTCGCTTTCTTCTTCTTCTTCTTTCTATTCCTCTTCTCCCTCTCCTCCTTCTCTTTGTCTCCTCCATGGATCTTCTTCTTCTTCATCTATTTTTTTTATTGAAATGCTGTGTTTGTTCTCAAAATGTCATGAATGTGCCAATTACATATAGCCATCTTTAAAGAGAGAGTTTGCAATAAAATGACATCATTTGAAAAACATGTCAAAAAACATGTCATTTCTAATAAAAATTAGTTATGTCATTCCCAGATAAGTCATAAAAATGACATAGAATGCCATAAGAATGACATTTTCTTATGGCATATGACATTTTCATTTTGTCATTCTGATAAATATACTGCCACAAACATGACAGTTTTTTCAAATAACCAATAATTTTGACATTCTCAGATTATAAAAGTGACATTCTGCTGAATAAATAAAATTCAAACCTAAAAAATACAAATTAATAAATAAAATTCGACTAAAAGTGGACTCAAAATTAATAACTCAAAATAAAAATGAAACAGAGTACGAGCAGGAAGAAAATAGAAGAGAAGAGAAGAGAAGAGGAGAAAAAGAAGAGGAGGAGGAGAACTTACCTGTGAAAACTGCAGCAGGGCTTGAGATAGCAGGAGGGTGCGCAAGTGACGAACGACAGAAGAGAGGCGTAGGGCAATTTCGGCATTCTACTGTTATTTTAATCATACGCTTCTTCAGATGAAACTAGTAGTCTTATAATGGAATTTTTCATATGTTTTAGTCCTATTTAGGTAAATCTCTCTAATAATAATAATGATCTTTCGTCCATGAAGTTTGCCTTAGGCTTGGACCAGTACCGGTCCGGGACTGGCCTGGCCAGTACCAAATTTGTTGGGCTAAGGCCCGGTACCGTACCGGGATTTCACCAAGACCTGTTCGGTCAGTCTCGGGTCAGCCGGGTCGGGGTTTAATTTTTTTAAAAATATTGTTTCAAAGTGAATTCAAGAAGTAAAAAAATTCAATGCATATATATTGAAATATGAAGTACAATTGATAATATATTTAATAGCCTATTTTAAAAGAACGGGAAAAAATGCTTTCAAACGCTTGACTCTTAATTTTGCATACTCCTCGGGGTGGTTTGCCTTCAAATGCCTATCCGCACCTCCGCATCCATGCGAAATTCTCAAGCAAATTTTTTCGTTACAGTGGTGGGATTGGTAGCAAGTTGTCCACCACATTTTGCTTGTCGTTTCCTTCCATTTTGTGTAATTGTTTTTCATAAGGAGATATTGACCTTTGATATATACTTCGTATTAATAGATGTAGAGAGAATTGGAGAAGCTGAAGTCATGAAGATGTAGATGATTAAGAGTATTAGAGAATAGAGAGTAGGAAGAGTTGGAGAAGAGGTGTAGAAAAATGTATAGAAAATAGGAAAATACCAGCATGTATAGAAAATAAGAGTATATATAGATTTTTTTTGTACCCCCACCCCCACCCGGCCACCCCATCCCCCAAACACCCCCCAAGAGCCCCCTCAACGGCTATAGAGCCGTTTGGGACTTTTCCAACGTCCAGGAGGCTTCAGATTAATTAAATGTAGGGATGGACTCGGGTCCGGGCCGGGTCCGGGTCGGGCCTAGCCCCGGGCGGGCCGGCGGGTCAGAAATGGTGGACCCGGGACCGGCCCGGGTAACCACCGGGTCCGGTCCGGGTCCGGGCCGGGCCGGGCTTATTATAATTTTTTTTTGTTTTCCTCTTCCTAATTAACCCCCCTCCCACCCCCAACCCCCCAAACCACCCCAAATGGCCCAAAATACCCAGCCTAACCCGAAAATTTAAAAAAAAAATTGAAAAAAAAATAGTTTTAGGCCCGAACCGGGCCTGGACCCGGCCGGGTCGGGCCTTGTTTTGGGTGACCCGAGCCCGGACTGGAAAACCCACGGGCCGGGCCTACCCGGACCGGTCACTGACCGGGCCACCGGGTTGGGCCGGGCCGGAACAGTACCGGTCCCGAGCCGGTTCCGGGTCGGGCCACCCGGCCCGAGTCCATCCCTGATTAAATGATTCATAGTGATGTGTGGGGACCTTCACGCATAAACACTATAACACAAAAGAGATGGTTTGTATCTTTTATAGATGATCACACAAGATTAACTTGGATATTTCTTATGCAAAATAATTCTGAAGTGAGTAAATTTTTCAGGACTTCCATTCTATGACTGAAACTCAATTTCACACTACGATTCAAGTACTCAAAATCGGCAATGCCATTGAATTTATTAATTCTATTTTTGGTACCTATTTGGTAGAACATGACATCATCCATTTAAGTTCTTGTGTTGACACCCCTAAGCAAAATGGAATTGTTGAGCGGAAAATTTGACATCTTCTTGAAGTTTCTCGATATCTCATGTTTGGGACTCATGTTCCTAAAGTTCGCACATAACAGATTATACCAAAATTAAAGTACTTGAAGATTTGTTAGCCAATCATTAAAACATGTTATATTCCATCAAAATTTCTAGACATTAAAGAACTAAGGATATTGACATAGACATACGTTCAGTGGCGGAGCCAGAAATATATGGTTAACGGGACCAAATTTTGAGTAATTTACATTATCGGGGCCAAAGTTTAAAAATCAACATCTTTTCTCCAAATTTAAAGTATTTATACATAATATTTACTTAAGATTTTTTTTCTTGTAAGGGCCAAGGCCCCCTCCAGCCTCTCCATTTCTCCACCCCTCCATACACTTCATTACTGAGAAAATAAAGAACTCTGTCATTCAAACCGGTTGTAATCCACTAATCCATCAAAATTTCAAACTGCTGATATTCGTACAAAAGATCTTGGAGAATCATTTTTGAAGAATTAATTAGCAATCTTGGGATGTTTGACATTCACAACACGGCTTGAGGGGTTGTGTGGATTTATTTCCTAATGTTGAGAATAGTTACTGCATTATTTTAGATATTATTTGATATTAATACCAGATATCATGTATTTTACTACATATTCTTTTTAGAAATAAGATACTCTATTGTTTAAATTTATAGATTCTCTCTCCAATAGGTTGTATAAATATGTTGTCATCCTGAGATTATAATACATCACAAATAATCAGGATTTCACACTTATTATTCTTTATAATGCATCAAACTGAAGGGAGAGAAAATAAAGATTAATACAAACAAAGAAGAAAAAGCTACTCTCATATGGTGCTGGTGTAAACCAGCATTTGTATATAGCATATAGCCCGAAATCAGATGAAAGAAAAATGATGTTGAGATATCCCCTTTTCATTATTACATTGACTTGCTTCTACAGATGTTGAGAACCCTTTTTTCATATAGGTTATTGCTGACTTTTTGTCCAATTAAGAAATTGAAGATCTCAAAGAAATGCTTGAGATGTAATAACCTCAACATTTATGTTACATACATATAGTTTACATTTTGTTCACTAATTGATTACAAAAGTTTCATATTGTATACTCCGTACTACGTAATATGGAGTATAGGTTTTGTATTTCTTAAAAATAATTCTGATCTTTTTTCATTTTAAGATTATTTTATAGTGTTGGTGGATTCAAAATTAAAAATTACTCAAAATAGGACTAAAACTATGACAAAAACTCAAAATAGGAGTTACTATGTTTTTCTTTTCAAAATAGGACCATATTAGTCCTATTGAAAACATACCTATTTTTTCATTCCATTCTTACCCTTCCTTTAAATATGAGTTAATTAAATGTTTAATTCATAATAAATTCGAAAAAAATTCAAAAATTTGTAGAAAAATAAATAAAAAATTTATAAAATATTTATAAAATAAAAAGTTGTTTTTTTAATTTTTTTATTTGTTTTGAAAATTAATAAAAAATAGTGAAACTCCATTAAAAAAACTAAAAAAAACATGGATGCCTTTCCCACCGTCTCTACTACCTCCTTGCACCACCATCTCCGGCCGGTGAAAAAAATGTCATTTTTCCTTAAAACTGCCATTTTTTCTGAAATTGCCAAAACATGGCATATTTCTCTTTGAGAATGCCAACATTTTCATTGTTTTCTGTCATAAATATGACATTCGTAATGAACTTGGCATTTTTCCCCTGGTGACTGGAGGTGGTGGTGCAGAGGCGGCAAAGGCGGCGGTGAATTTTATTTTTATTTTTTGAGTTTTTTATTTTTTTAATTTTTTTTTGATTTTGAAAATAAATAAATAAATAAATTATTATCGAAATATTTTTATTAACTTTTTGGTATTTTTTACGAAGTTTTATTATTTTTTATTATTTTATTATGAATTAAAACATTTCAATAGCTATAAGGGTATATTTGTCCAAGACACACATAATTAGTCTTATGAAAACATAGTTTATTTTTTGGTCCTATTTGTGCAAAGTGAGTGACTTTTAATTCTATTTTGATAATTAACCCATTCAAAATTTGTATTACTATCAAAACGATGATATGGTAGTCCAATGTGCACATACAAATGTAGTAAACCTCGATAGTAATTTTATAGGTACAAATAATTATTACATAGAACCCAGTTTTCTTATTTATTTACAAGAGGTAGATCAGACACTAGACC